AAAAATTTCTTATACAATTTTACTAATAAATCACTAATATTACACTTATTAAATTTATACAAAGAGGTGCACCAAATGTACTAGTGCACTATTTAATATTTTCCTTTAATAGAACATGTCTAAAAATAAAAAAAATTCTTATTCAAATCTATATATTAAAAAATAAAAAATCATGGCCTTACCATTAATATTAAAAAAAAAAATAAAAAATCAATATACTGTATATAGAGTATAATTTTATGTTATAGTAAGAATGAAAAAAAACAGTTTTAAACATTTTTTCACCGATTTAAATAGGTGATGATTAAAAGTCAGAATAGTTAAATTTGTTTAAATATATTAATCACCGTTTTTTTTAATTACGTAATAAAAAACATTTTCCATCCCTACTTTTATGCATCATTTTATTATGTATATAGACAAAAAAAAACTATTTCAAAAGAAACTATGCTTCGGGTTTTAATTTACAACTTTAACAAGAATTTCTGTTATCACTACACTGGCTTGGTATATTCTATCAAAGATACTATACAGTTGATAACTAACCCTAAACAACCATCATACTGTCTAAAACTTGAATGATCTGTAGATAACGCTAATCAAATTTACTGTAGCAACTTTATATACTGTAATAAACTTAAATTAGAATTGCCATTGTCTGTATCAATATTAATATGAACAAATTATTTGTCATATATAATTTGAATATATACAGTATCATTATAGAATTATAGATAAAATAGCTTCTCTCAAACCAAAAAATTCGAATGGAACAACAAACTCAAGAACACGCCACCATTAACAAATAATCATCCGAAAAAAAAATGGGAAAATGATCTTATTTATGCTGAAAAAACGCTGGTTGCGAATCGGAAAGGGAAATCCCACGAAGAAGGAATTGATAATATAGTTTAAACCAGATATACACGCCAACGATCAAAAATTTTCGGATTCCTATCTGAAAATTTTGCCTTTTCCTTTTTGCCGTGTAATAATGGAGAAGGTGGTGATCAATTTAGGGGATTGAGAGAAAAAAGAGCAAAGGAGCATGCTAAAAGCCTGGAATATCAAAGGCAATTTCCTAAGGATCCTTTGGGTGAAAAAATTAAAAGCTTCTTTGAATGAAACTTGAAACTGTGAATATTAATAATTTGCATAGATTAAATTTTGCAATTTCCTTTATTTCGGCTACGTAGCTTCATATACATAGTACTTCTTGGTGGCAGTAAGCATAATTAATAAACAGAAACACATTACATGTAAAACCATCAATTTCTATTAAGAAAAATTTTTTTTTTCAAATTAATGGTCGGAAAAAAAATTGCCATGAGTGTGCATAAAATATTGAATCGTTCGGATATTTAACATTTAAAAGTAGAATAGTAACCCGAATGAAACGTTTAAAAGATATTGAATGAAAAGCTCTAGTAACTGGATTTAATTAAGAAAAAAGAAGGTTGTATTTATTGTCAAGAATAATAAATATGAATTTTGGCATAATATATTTCATAACAAACATTTGAAAGCCCGTTCATAATTGGTTTCATTAGCATATCCAAAATTGATAATGGTGAAATTTACATTTTATATTTAAGTTTATTAATTATAATAAAGATCCACTCCTTACAACAGAAATACAGTAAGCCGCAATATTCATCAAAGCAATTATTCCGTCACCCCCACCAATTTCTGCCAAATTATTCCAATTCCATCGACCACTTCTCCAATTAACTACATCGTTCCAAGCCTGCGTTCCATTAGCCACGGACAATACTAACAACGTCACTTTTTGTGTTGTCATATCTCGGAATCTTATAAGAGCCAACAATGCCAATAGTCCCAAAGAAAAATTTATTCCCCCCAGCCTTTGGAGCACGTCAATAGCAATTACCGGTGGTGGGTCTCGTCTTCCCAGAGCAAAATACCTTTTTAAGTAGGTTCTCGGCAAACGCAACAGTCTTCGTGCATAATACGTGTGCCAAAGAAATGTCAAAAGAAAAGGTAGATTATTAGATCGAAAAAGTTGCCGAATTAGAAAGATACTGAGGGATGCAAAATGGCCTAATATAATACGTATTGTTGAAGGGTAATATGACCTTCGACGAACATGATGCCGCTTTGAAGTTTGAGTGGTAGATGATGTTTCTTGTTCATTAGACGGATCATGGTTCATTGTAATTTCTTTTTCCTTTTTTGTTATAACCAAGAGTGAGCATTACTATAAAAATAGATCTATCGCAATGCGGATATCATAGATATCATAGGAAGACATTTGTCTGATTGGCTAATTTTTATAGGTCTACCCAAAGGAAGAAGTTCGTCTGATTGGCTAATGTTTATGGATCTACCCGTGATCACCCGTGATAATTAACCAATCAAATTACATAATTTTAAATAATTCGTCATTAAAATACTAACTAGAAAACAAA